AGACCCCGCAAGCGGCTCCCTGGGGCTGGCTGAGAAAGTATCCCCCATGCAGAGACAGGCCAGTCAGTCTTTGCCCAAAGCTGTCCTGCCAGCACCCCCACCCGCACCCCGGGGGAACAAAGGGAAGCGGCGCTGGGGCTTGGCCACAGCAAACACATACCAGGGCTGTCAGGGGCTTCAGCCCCAAGGCCGCAGACAGCCCTGCAAAAGGGGGGGGAGGGGAAGAGGGAGAGAACACTGCTGGCAGCACAGAGACAGGCCAGTCAGTCTTTGCCCAAAGCTGTCCTGCCAGCACCCCCACCCGCACCCCGGGGGAACAAAGGGAAGCGGCGCTGGGGCTTGGCCACAGCAAACACATACCAGGGCTGTCAGGGGCTTCAGCCCCAAGGCCGCAGACAGCCCTGCAAAAGGGGGGGGAGGGGAAGAGGGAGAGAACACTGCTGGCAGCAGCAGGCAGGCGTGTTCCCGACTCTGCCCTCTTCCCCCACCGCCACCCAGCGAGCAAAGCCCAGCTGAGCCCTGCAGAAAAGGGGCACATGAGGGACTGTGCAGGTGGCAGGGTGACTGGCTTTGTGCCCGGCTGCCCCAGCGCCGTCCTTACAATCCGGGTTGCACTGGCAGAACTTTTCGCAGAAATTCTGAGTCATGATGCAGGGGCAGGAGCTGTCGCAGTGCCCTCTTCCCCCACCGCCACCCAGCGAGCAAAGCCCAGCTGAGCCCTGCAGAAAAGGGGCACATGAGGGACTGTGCAGGTGGCAGGGTGACTGGCTTTGTGCCCGGCTGCCCCAGCGCCGTCCTTACAATCCGGGTTGCACTGGCAGAACTTTTCGCAGAAATTCTGAGTCATGATGCAGGGGCAGGAGCTGTCGCAGGGGTGATCGGGGTGGTCGCAGGGCTGGTAATTGTACACCTGGGTGGCTGAATTATCTACAGGAAGAAAAGGGGGAAGCCATGGTTACAACCCACGCCAGGCACACACACACACAGACCAGGAGTTCCTGGGCTCCGGAGCAGGAGCGCGTGCCGGTTCCAATTCGGCCAGCAGGGGGCAGGCAGCGCACGGTCTCAAAACGAGAGGGCGCAGGTGGCACGGAGCCCGCCCCAGAACGCTGCTGCTGGGATGAGGCCGATAGAAAACTTCCCCAGGTGGGTGGGAATTTTAACGTGAGCCAAGCCAGGCTCGAAAGACTCGGGCTACCCAGTGCGCTGGTGCTTCTCAAACCCAGGCCATGCAAGCAACCCTCCCCACGCCCCAGCACAGCCGGCGCCGCATGTTACCTTTCTTCAGCTGGATCTTCCTGCAGTGAGCAGCCCACAGCCTGAAAGAGAAACCCAGAGACAGCCGCTGTGGGAAAGGGGCGTCTCCCTGAGGCACCCGACAGAGCGCCTGGCTCCCGGTTAGCTCAGCCACTGGAGAGGCGAGAGCCCACCGGTGCGCTAACAGTCGCCGGCTGTGGAGGGGAGGTTGTGCAGGGCATGGTCAGGCCTCGAGGAGAGAGGCACCTTGGGGCAAACTCCAAACCACCGAAGACAACAGCTCGGCAGGACGGATTAGAGGACGCCCACGAGACGCCAATTAGCAGCCAACCAGATTCAAACCCGGCCTGGAGAGGAGCGCCCGGTACTGACAGTCCCAGGCAAGCAGGGTCCATGGTACCGCAGCAGCAGGGCAGGGGCCAGTTCCCAGCACAAGCGGCTGGGAGGACGGGGCGCATGAGCAGGTGCCAGGCAGACGGGGCTGGGCCGCGACACGGGCACGTGGGGGCGCTGGCCGCGTTGGAGGCACTTGCCTGTGCTTCCTCTTCTTCTTCTGGGACGGATTCATGAGCTCGCCGGTCGGCAGCTTCATTACGAGGGCTTCTTTCACCGCAAACTGGAAGACCTACAGAGGAGTTCGGCGCGCTCAGATCGTAGTGAGCAGGTGCCAGGCAGACGGGGCTGGGCCGCGACACGGGCACGTGGGGGCGCTGGCCGCGTTGGAGGCACTTGCCTGTGCTTCCTCTTCTTCTTCTGGGACGGATTCATGAGCTCGCCGGTCGGCAGCTTCATTACGAGGGCTTCTTTCACCGCAAACTGGAAGACCTACAGAGGAGTTCGGCGCGCTCAGATCGTAGCGGGGGAGCCCGAGCCGAGCCAATGGCGTTTGCAGCTGCCGCTCGCCTGGAAAGTGCGGCTGCTCCTCGTGGCGGGTCCCACGCCCAGGTGTGAACCGGGCCCAGGCGGATGAGTGACAGCAGGAGGCGCCTACGGTTCTGGGGCCTCTATTGCTTCGGAAGAGAGATGGGAAAGTCCCAAAGGGCAGCCAAAGGGACCCAGGCTGGGAGAACACACACCAAGTGACCCTGCCGGTGTTAACAGGTGCGAGCGGCATTTCCAGAGGCCTTCAAAACCACCCGCTGCTTTCTGCGCACACAAAGCCCCCTCCAGCAGGCCGGGAGGGAGCTGGCCGGCCCCCTACGCGAGGCCCTCTGAAAAGCTGGCCCTGCCCGGGAAAGAGGAGAGACGGCGGAAACCCAGGCCCAGGCCTGCAACTCCCTGGCCGCTTCTTCCTCAGGCAAAGGCTGTGGAGTGCGCAGCTGTTGGCCAGGCCGGCCCAGAGCCAAGGGGGCTGGCAGAGGCAGACTGAACAGTCACGACACACAAGCATTCGGCACCAAACCCTCAGCTCTGCAGAGAATCGGGACAGGCCAGTGGGGCAGAAGCCAGGGGCGTGGGGCTTCCCCAGGAAAAGCGAGCTGCTCTGAAGCTGCAGGCCCGCGTGGAGACGTCAGTCGGGCACAGCAAGGGGTGCGGGACGCTACCAGAGCCGAGGCAGCTGAGCCGGCATCCCCGAGGCAGAGCCGAGGGAACAGGAGTGGCACGCTGAGGAAGCCATGCAGCCACCTGTTTTCTCACTAGGCCCCTCCAGGCGGGTTTCCGCTGGTCTCTGTGTGGCCCCCAAGACTCCCTCCCCCCGCCCAACGGCCATGGGAGGAAGCC